ATAGAGAGAGAGAGAGAGAGAGTGAGAGATCAGGTCACTGACCTGCCCATCTCTATTGATGTGTGGCCTGTTCCTGAGAGATTCGTCCTGACATGTTTGACAGCTGCATGTGGTTGGTTTGACCGAACTGTTCTTTGTCTTCTAGCTATTTTTGGATGAAAGAATTAAAAATACCTGCACCAGAGGAATTTAAAGATGGAAACACAAAGACGTACCCCCCGCATTTCAGGAAAGGAATCATCTTCTTGGATAAACCCTGTAATTAAACTACAGTTGTGCATAAAAGGGTTGCCATTCTTCACTGCTTTCATCACAGCCTCAAGCACACACATCCAATCTCAATCATCCATCTCTAGATTACTCTGGTGCAGGTATTTTTAATTCTTTCATCCAAAAATAGCTGGAAGACAAAGAAAGGTTTGGCCACACCAACCACATGCAGCTGTCAACCGAAAACAAGTCAGAGTTCAGTCACCCCCTGACATACTCCTAAAGCATTTTTTTAAATCACGAGACTCATTCAATACCTGGTGAGTTTTTGTCAAAGGTTTATAAAAAACAGTAGGTAGACAAAGAAAAGTTTTGCCGCATCACTGGCAGATATCAGTCAAAGAGTTCACACCTTTTTTTTTAGATGTAGGCTTCTTGTGAGCTCTTCTTTAGCGAATTAGATACGGTCCGGGCTCTGGCAATGGTGTATCCTGTCTTTCAAATTTGATGCTGTCATGCTGCCACCAGGCGATCTACTTGGAAATTACCCCTAAATTGTGAGCAATGTTGGCTCTACACTGTATCATGAAAGCCTGGACGTGAAGACCCCCGCCTCGTATTACCCACCCCTATATACGCTAGCAGAAACGAAGCGGCACTGTACTAGTAGCTATATATAGCTACTGAAAATTCTTCCAATTCAGTTGAGGATGTCAAAAGAGGAAGAAGAAGAAGAAAAGACTGTCATTAACTGGAGATGTGATTAAAAGATTAACATTCTTCACTGCTTTGATCACAGCGCTCTTCAAGCCCCAAGCATTTCTTTTTTAATCACAAGACTCTTTTGATAACAGTGTTTGTCAATGGTTTAGATAAAAATAGTATGTAGACAAAGGAAAGTCTTGCCGCATCACTGTCATATTTCAATCAAATGTTTTGTAACATTCAAAAGGCAAATTGGTGACTAGAGTTCACTGACCCCTCGGACAAACTCTCCAAACAAAGGTTTGAGTTTCTACTTATTTTTGACATGTATACTTTCTATGAGCTCTTCTTTATCGAATTTGATACTGTACTGTTCTGCCAATGACACTGTCTTTTAAATCTGATGCTGTCATGCTGCCACCAAGCGATCTGCTTGGAAATTACCCCTACATTGTGACTAATGGTGCACAACACTGGAAATACAGCGTCCTGTACTCTGTAGTTTTGCAATCAGTTAGAATGTATAGAGTTGAGAAACTAGGATGCCAGCATGAATATAACAATAACTAGGTGAAAATACAAGACTGTTGAGAACCCACCACACGTTTCTATAAAGAGTAGGGGCATGGCCAGGTGTGCGATGGTCTAAATACTTCTATCTTAAAGTTGAGTTAGCAGTTGGGGATGTTAAAAGAGGAAGAGGTAGAAGAAAATACTGTCATTTACTGGAGTTGTGATTAAAAGATTATCATTCTCGAAGCCCCAAGCGTATCTTTTCATTAATCACGAGAACCTTTTGATGCTTTTCTTTTTAATGGTTTATCTAAAAATAGTATGTGGAAAAAGCACCGTGAAATAGCTACTGAAAAAGCGCCGTGCACGTGTTGCACCTCATGAGCTCAGTTGAAGATGTCAAAAGAGGAAGAAGAAGAAGAAAAGACTGTCATTAACTGGAAATGTGATTAAAAATTAACATTCTTCACTGCACTGCTTTCATAACAGCGCTCTTCAAGCCCCAAGCATGTCTCTTTTCTGATCACAAGACTCTTTTGATACCGGTCTTTTGAATAGTTTATCTAAAAATAGTATGTAGACAAAGGACTTTCTTGCAACATCGCCGACAGATGTCAATCAGATGTTTAAGGTACACTGGGTGGGTGACGAGAGTTCACTGACCCCCTGACATACTCTCTAAGGAAAGGTTTAGGCTTCGACGTATTTTTGACGTATTTTAGGTATTTTTTATCAGGCTGTCTTTAGCGTATCGGGTACTGTCCTGCCAATGTTACTTTCTTTTAAATCTGATGCTGTCATGCTGCCACCAAGCGATCTACTTGGAAATTACCCCTACATTGTGACTAATGGTGCACAACACTGGAAATACAGCGTCCTGTACTCTCTACAGACCCACCGTGCACATTTTTATATACAGAGTAGAGGCATACCACGGTGTGCGATGGTCTAAATACTTCTATGTAAAAGTTAAGTTAGCAACAGACTTCTCGGGCTAAACTGAAAAGGCACCTTGTTTTACCTCAGTTGTGGGGTGTCGAAAGAGGAAGACTGTTGCCAGGGCCAGTATACAGGCCAGCTCCTCAGCTCCAGGGCTAGCCTGGGTGCCAGACTGTTGCCAGGGCCTGTATACAGGCCAGCTCCTCAGCTCCAGGGCTAGCCTGGGTGCCAGACTGTTGCCAGGGCCAGTATACAGACCAGCTCCTCGGCTCCAGACCAACATGCCATCCAAGACAACTTAACCACAGCCCCCGCTGAGTTAGACCATAAGCTACAAATCACTGGGTGGGTACAGTGGTAAGACTACCTTCGAGGCATGTTGTTATTGATTATATATAGATACAGGAGGCATGTTGGCCCTAGAGCGGAGCAGCTGACTTTTCAGATTCAGATTTATTGACAATCGTCTGGCATTAAATATGTCGAGTATTCAATCTTTGAAACTTTATTCAGAGTAGCCATTAGCGGTAGGCCCAAGGCATTCATTCACAAATATACATACAATACATATACAGTCGAACCTGGGTATAAAGACCACTCAAGGGACCTATGCAATTTGGTCACAATAGACAGGTGGTCTCTATAGAGAAGAACCTAAAATGACCGAGGGCAGTAAGTGAGAAAGACATTATTTTTCCATCAAGATATTCTTTATTGACATTGTATGCTTGTACACATATGTGAACTTTAAACATGTGTACACATAAAACGCATAAGGTTCTGGTGAACTGTCTTGTCATTAAATAGCATAAAGATGTACATAGTACATGTATTACATTAAAATGACCGATCATGTACATACAATATTTACGACATATCGCCCATTATTAAAATAGATAAAGCTTGCCTTAAATCTTACACATGTCTGCATTGTTATCGTTAATTAAAATACAGTACAAAGGTTTATCACAACAATGTATACATCAGCTAAAACATTAAAAATCAGTATGAACAGATATGGATAACATCATACATGACAAGCCTCACTGGATCATTCTACTGAGGAAGACTAGAGTGACTGGTCAAAAGCCCTAGGTGAGAGAACTTTTTGTGTTGGATCAAAAGTTTTAACTTTAAACATGTAACTGCCAACACAGGTGAACTTTCATAATAACATCATACTAAGATGATACAAAGATCAGGTTTTAGACAATAATTTCAGCGCCCGAGGTAGAAAGGACTGTTCGTGGGCCCTGGATAGCCCCCAGTTGGCCCTACATGGCACGCCTCTCCGCCGGCCCCCTGCTGCAGCGCCCGACGCCCCAGGCTAGTGTCCCGCTACCTGCTTTTCGTGTTCAACAGCTGTTGTCGACGGCCTTTCCCGGTCTGACCGTTGAAACGTCTTCTTGATGGCTGTTTGGTTTGGACAGACAAAGAAAAAAACCGTCATGATAAATTGTAAAATCAGATCCTTGTGTCTGGCCTTTAGTGGTCTGTGGTTAGCACATTCACCCACCCACTCAACAATACGAACACATAAGCAAGCAAACACACACACACACACACACACACACACACACACACACACACACACACACACACACACTCACACACACACACACACACACACACTCACACTCACATACACACACACACACACACAAAACATACACACACATACACACACACACACTCAGAAGTACACACACACAAACACACAAACACACACACACACAGAGAAGTACACACACACACACACACAGAAGTACACACACACACACACACACACACATACACATAGTATTACACAAACGTAGCACGGTGGGAGACCTGTTGTGGTTGTGCTATACGTAGAAGGAAAACAGAAATACGAAATTTGAACACACCTTCCAGTGCGGATTTCAGCTGTTCAGAGATCGGTCTGCTTGATGAGGTCACCTCTTGTTTGTTGTACCCGCAGTCCACACCTACACCTCCGGTATACACCCGGATTCTCCGGTTCGTGATCACAACTGATCCCGTGTTGAACACCATCGTGATTTCTGTGAAAAAACAACAACAGAACTTGTAGTGAGAAGATTTAAAAGGGAAACAATTCGAACATCGCTTTACTCGTAGCCCAGTATCCAGTTGTAACAGTGGGGGGGGGGGGATTTATAGGTGCTACCAACTGACCCGGCCGATGGGTCTAGACCTTTTCGGCCGAGTGGTTAGATTGTCTGACTGGGGCCCGGGAGGTCGTGGGTTAGAACCCCGGCCCGGGACCAGTGGGATTTTTACTGCTTGCCTCTGTTTCTTACACAGTCTATCGTGGTTAGGGCAGGCTGTCTTCGGGGCTCTAATATTTCCCTCCTTCCAACTCAAGAGACCACCACCGGGGGCTAATAAATCTCTCATCGTGAAAATCTACCGAGGAACCTAGCTTAGGCGGGCGGGGAAGAGCTTCAGCAGCCCCGAAGGAAATCCGCCCCAACCACGATAGATTGGATACCGGGTTACTTTTAGCCTAAGGGTATATCGTGGTTGGGGCTAGCCTCCGTAGCAGGCTTATAGAACTGCGGGTTTGGTGGTCTTCGGCTGTTTTCTGATTAGCCTCCGTAGCAGGCTTATAGAACTGGGGGTTTGGTGGTCTTCGGCTGTTTTCTGATTAGCCCAGTCAAAAAGACGGGAGTAATTCAACCAGGCCGGCTATGTTGTCTATATGCAATCAGATAACAGCACATAAAAGCTCCCAAAGACCCTGAACGGCTGAAGACTCCCCAAACCCCCAGTTTTTGCATCCTAGGTTGGGTCTGGCTGTCTTCGAGGCCACAATAGTTTTCCCCCGTCCAACTGAACAGACCGCCCGGTGGGAGTGTCACACCTGTAGGAGTTTTGATAGAGTTTCGCACGCCAGGTATTGTTGCGGCTAAGTGAACTCAATCAAACTCCCGTGGTGCAAAACCTACCGGGGAACTTAGCTGAGGCGGGCGGGGAAGACCTCCTGCAGCCCCGAAGAAAACCCGCCCCAACTACGATAAGACTGGATACCAGGCTACTTTACTCTCACAGCACAGGATTAAGCTTCTGTATCCGTGTCTGTATCTGTATAGCCGGTGTAACCTTTCTTCGGAATAACACGTCCAGCTTTACCGGCACGCGGCGCGGCGGCAGCTTTGACGTGTATTTGTGTTCTCATGCTATTTTAAGCTTTCTTTTTGTACTAGTATTTTTTATCCAGATAAACTCGGGTGGTGTATTGGACACTACCTAAGCCATTGAAAAGATATGCTTGGGGATTTTCGTCGCTTAACTAGGTAACCAAGCCATCGGGAGCTCCCTTGTATCTCTACGGTGCAGGGAGGGGCGCGCGCCCGGCCAAGCTGACTAGAGCCCGCCGGGGAATTTTTGATACATAGCGTTGTTTGCTAATTTCTAGTTAGTTTACTCGCTAGTTTCTAAGGGAGTGGGTATGGGAGTCCCAGTAAACTATGAAACTAAGGTGACACCCAGGCTAAATTTTTAACAGTGTTGGTGTGAATCATTAGTACTTCTTTCTACGGGACACACTAGAAACGAGACTACGGTCACACAGGTGATCAGAAAAGTGCCTATGCATAGTACATGTAGCCTAGAGCAGGTGAAATATCCCCAAGCCGGTTCCCATGGGAAAAAATGTTTATCTGACTATGGATCGCTAAAACAGTACTGTTGTAGAAAAACAACAGTGACAGCGCAAAACTGGACAAAGACGCGACAATCTTCTCCCAAAACAACACACGTTTAACATGCAAAACAATATGACAATCTATTAATAGACCTTACCTGTTTTTCTTCCTGAAATAGGCGAGCTGGGAATCAACAGGATACTTTGTTGCTTCGGCACTTCGAAATCGTCCTTCTTGTGAGAAAACTTGCGAGTCAAGACTAAGCTGACCACTCGAGACAAGCGAGAACCTTCAGAATGGCTGACACAGGCTGGCACCTGTTATTATACCTCTGTGCGACCTCATTAGGAGGGGGCGCTAATTTCTTTCCAGGAACTTTACAGATGAGCGCTCATGGACAATGGCTTGATTAGAATATCTAGTCTCGTGGGGTGATCTCAGTGACGACCCTCACATTTAAAAAAAATAGGCCATTTTGTTGTTTGCGTGACACTATAGCTTCTGTATGAATGAATGAATGAATGAATGAATGAATGAATGAATGAATGAATGAATGAATGAATGAATGAATGAATGAATGAATGAATGAATGAGACTTTATTCTGTATTTGTATCACACTAACTTCTACCTATGGCAATCACTCGATATCTTTATTTAAAACAGATTCATGTACAGATACATACTCATGCACAGATACAGATTCATGTACAGATATACAGATTCATACACAGATACAGATTCATGTACAGATATACAGATTCATGCACAGATATAGATTCATGTACAGATATACAGATTCATGCACAGATACAGATTCATGTACAGATATACAGATTCATGCACAGATATAGATTCATGTACAGATATACAGATTCATGCACAGATATAGATTCATGTACAGATATACAGATACAGATTTTACGAGTAGGATGACCGTGTCATTCCCTGCACAATAGCTTCTGTATTTGTATCACACTAACTTCTGTATCTGTACATATCGCTGGTATAACCGCCCTTCGACGTAAAGCCTATGTCATAACAAGGAAAGATTTTAAACCTCCTTGATCATACCTAGCCGATTATAGGGCTGGCATTGTTGTCAGTTATACTGTTCGGCAGCGCAAGCCGAATGTTTCAAAATGTTTATCCTAACCGAGTGCAAATTCAGAATCACTGATAAATTTTGTTTGATTCAAACTGGCTGACCAAAAATGTCCTTGGGGTGACACAACACAGAAGCCGTTATTAAACCTTCTGTAGGACCTTCGACCTTATTCGGGGTTAATTTCTTCTTGGAACTTTTACAGGTGAGCGCTACTGGACAATGGCGTAATTAGCATATCTAGGTCTGTCGCGTGATCTCAAATGTCCCTCACGTGAGAAATGAGCCATTTTTGTTTGTTTGAACCATTCTTTCCATTCACTAGAAGCTCAAATCTGCCTGCAGGCTACATGTTATGCCTGTCTGTCTCTCTCTCTCCTCCCTCCCACTTCCTCTCTCTCCCCCCTCCCCTATATATATATATA